GGTCTTTTACTTCTGACTGATGTTTTTATTTGAGAGAACAAGGGATGCTTGTTGTCTAAAAAGATGGAATTAATTTTTTAAATGCAAGCTGTTATGTACAATTAATCCAAGTAGGGGAATGTAGATGTTGAAATAACCTGCACACATGGATTACATGACTTCTTGGGGGGCGGGGGGGGGGGGGGGGGGGAGGTGATGCCTCGACAGAAGTTAGTTTGAAAGCCTGTTTTATTATGATTATTGTATTAGGCCTACTTTTTCACATAAATAAGCAGAGAGGTTAATAAAAATATGTTTGTGGTTCTTTTTCATTGTTTGTCATTTTGGTTTTCCATTACATACGGGGAGCAAAAATGTTGTTTAAGTACACCTACATGAAAAGATTCCTGAGTGTAATCATAGTTCCTTTCATAGAAGTAAGTGTAATCTAGGCCTACTGCTTGAAGTACTTGTTCTAATATGGTCGTTTTTAAGGACAAGCGGGCTAACCTAGATTTCGGGGGTTTCCAGAAATCTTGACCTGCACCAAAAGTGGGCATTTCCCTACCTATAGAAGAAGTTTGGTTTCATTGGTGTGTATATTTGTTTGGTTATAGAGAAAACTCTTATTGTTTTTTAATTAAACTGAACAATGGGCAAAAACCTTACCTTCCATTTACTCAAAACTATTTTTCGGGATAGCCCACTTGTCCTTAAAAGCGACCATACATCACTGCTCTGATAATTACAGAACTAGAACTTTTTAATAGTGTTCTGTAAGTGAGCTTGGTGTTCAGATGTAGTCAGTAGCTTACACATGATAATAAAACAGTCATGATACTGTCATTTCATTAACACTGGCCAAAATCTAAACTGTTCTTTGACACTTCCATACCTCTGACAAGCGGATAGCAAGAGAATGACAACTAAATACCATTGGCCGATATTTACAGAAACAGCCATCCTGTTTGACGTCATTGAGGGATTCCCACTTTGTCAGTCATGGTGGCAACACGACCATACGATGGCAGCCTGCCAACTGGGATTATTTTTTTGCAACTTGCAGAACTGTTCGGATCGGTTTTGACTGTGATTGTGCAGCACCATCTACTGCCCAGATTGATTCTGATGCTGTACACTACATAAACTGAGAGGAAGAAGAAGACTAAAAGTAGGCCTACATACGAAAACAAGCTCCAACAAAGTTCAACAACGCAGTGCAAACGATTGACCATTTCGACCCTGATTGTTTCCTTTTAAGTTTTGTAAGCACAAGAAATAAAGCACTTACAAGAGATTGGACTCAATAGGACGATGAGCTGCAAATGGAGTAGATTTAATTCGAGACTGCAAGCTTTGTAAATTAAAACTGCCAGGTGCAAAAGCGAGCATACAAGGGGGAACCACTAGGAAAGACTCAAAGAGAGTAAGCTTTGAAACTGCCAGTGCAAACCACGCGCTATGCAAAATCATCACTATTTTTAGTCACGATCTGATGACACGGCGGGCATCCCCCTTGTGAGGTCAAACAAGATGGCAGTTACAATAAATATCTGATAATGGCACTTAGATTTAGATTTATATATATATATATATATATATATATATATATAAGTTGTCGTCCTAGACTCTAGCTATCCGCGTGTCCCTGTGTCTCATGTCAACCACCAGTTTACGTTTAACCCTCGTCCTGCCGGGGCCGGGTTTATGTCGCCCGATAAGCCTAATTCAGCACCTCGCCTGCGTTCTGGTCCCGCGTCAATCTAGCCCCTGGCTCAGCGCACGTGCGCCGACCACCATCTTCCCTTGAATTCGGGTCCCGAGTTGGATCCGCATTCACGTAGCTCAAGTGTGTGTGCGTCAGTCTGCTTGAATTTGTGTGCGTTTGTGGCCATCTTCTAGAACCGCCTGCGTTGGTTCGTAACCAAGGCATACATCTCATTCAAAACATGCCAAGTTGGTAGCTCTAGATGTTCACCCAATGAAATTATAGAAGAAATTGACCCACTTAGACATGAGGAGCTCAAAAGGATAGTCAGGAAACAAGACTTTCATTTTTCCATACAAAATCTTTCAAATGAGCTTGATTTTGTATGAAATGATACTACCTGATAAAAAATAAGCCTGTAATTTTGAATACCATTGTGCAGGCACAAAGAAAAATTTGAGGACAAAACACTCGGAAATTGACCTATATTATCCCCTTTCGAACACCAAGTCATTCATAACAACAAGAGCGTCTAGAAAGGAAATTCGAATGGGCTTAACTACTCGTAATGTCTTATCAGCTTATGAGAGGGGGTTATTGATGTGTTTGTAACACCTTATTTAATAAAAAGCTATGAGAAAGATAGAGCATTATTTTCATAGTCGATTAACACACTCCCACAGTATTTATGGCAAAAACACACACATTTCCCGGTGCGCGCGCGCTGTACACCAACAGTACACACTGAGTGACCCTGGCGGCCTGCCCAGAACGTCCGACGTAATCGGTTGCTGATAAGATTCGTATCTCAGCACAGACGCAGGACAAGGGACTTCCTCTCTATTATACTATAGCCTATTATTTGTTTTCCTTAAGTCACTGCGTCTTGTGATGATGTTCTCTTACTTACACAGGAGTGAACCCTCATAATTCGTCATATCATTTGAAGGGCTACTGCAAAGTCCCTCTTAAGATACTTTTTTACCTGAACAACACTATGCTATGTCCTAGCCTCAAGTCATTTACATAAAAATTGGAAGAGGCTAGCCGTACTTAATGACGGCTAGACT